TCAGATTATCTTTCATTGTTAGATTTAGAGTGGCTTCCTGGTTTAGTGCTCATTTCAAGGATGTGGGTATTCCTCTAGATTCTCTAGTAGGTGATTTGAAAATTGTTGATTCGATTGGTAGATCAGGAAAGGTTTGCTCTCAACCTGCTTGCTGGGTTCCTCCACCGGAGGGGTTTCTAAAGTTAAATGTTGATGGAGCGATGGTTTCGGGTTGGGAAAAAGGAGGTATTGGTGGTCTGTTTCGAGATAGCAGAGGTCTATTGCTTCAGTGGTTTTCTGAAGCAGTAGGGGGTGGTCCTCCTATTTTGGCAGAGCTGTTGGCTATCAAAAGAGGGATTTGTCTTATGGAGGAGTTGGATTTTGTCGCAAATCAGAGAGTTATCTTGGAATCAGACTCTTCTAACGCTCTGAAGTGGATTCAGAATCCGGGTTTAACCCCTCCTTTGCATCTATCCTTGGTGAAGGATATAGTTTCGCTTTTGATTGGAAAGGATATTATTTTTAGGCATATTTCAAGGGCGGCAAACTGGGAAGCTGATAAACTTGCTAAAGATGGGATAGGGTGATTTTGGTTATTGTGGTGTTGTTTAACAGGAATTGTTCCTCCCTGTTTTGTTGGATGTTTTGTGTTAAGTTTTATGTTCTTCCGTTGGAAGTGTAGGAGTTTGTTCAATCTTGTAATCTGGTTCTTGTGAATAAAAGTTTTCTTGGCTCTCCTTTCCTCCTTCGTTGTTCCTTCATGTTACTCTCATAACATGGAGGGATTGAAGGAGGATTTTAATGAGGCCCTTTCTATCAAAAAAAAAAATAGAACATCGCCATGATCCAATAATTCTAGAAGAAAATTTCAGGGTCTCAGGTATTGGATTTTAAAATATGAGCTTAGAGTTGCAATGGCACGTTTAGCAGTCGGAATTTGTCGTGATCGTTCTTTCTGTAGATGCTGTGCCTTATTAAGAGACTATATCATGTTAAAGTTACTAGTGTTCTGACTTCCCCGGGATATACCGAGTTTATCATGCAGGGTAATCCTAACGCTATTTATGGTGACTGATGCAGGACATAAGAAATGGTTCAGGGAACATTCGTTCCCTTTCAGGCACAACTCTTTTCCCCCAAAGTATCCGATCTGCACCCGCCAAAACTCAATCTCTTCGTTCTTTAAGCACATCGGACTCTTTCAATAGCAATGGAAGTGCCAGTAGCTTGAAGAATGGAGACTACTCTGAGAAGGGAAATAGCATTATGAGATATGCAGAGAACGGAAGCGACGGCCGTGACGGAAGATACTCGGCTAAATTAAGTGAGGTGGATATCTATGAGAGTTCCCGTTATGATGCAATACTCCTAAAGGAGGACTTGAAGAATATGAATTGGTTGCATAGTATTGATGATATATCCGATCAAGGATCCATCTTCGACAATGGATTTGAGTCTTTGCCCGAACCGTTCGGGCTATTATAACATCTAATAAGTGAGTTTATTTTCTTTCTTATACACTTTGTTGTCTTATTATTATTTGGGCACATTGCATGAATGTAATTCGACGGCTTTTACCACCGAAAATGAGGAGTGAAGAAAGCAGAACGTTTTTCTGCAGAAAAAAGAGAATCTGATCTTTAGTTGGTCTTTGTATTGTTCATCCGTTTGCCTGTAAAGAGTGAACTGATTCTTAGCATTTTTGTTGGTGTTCAATTCCACGTTTTTCTCGAAAATTGGAACCTTACATTTTCACTGAAATCAATACCTGATAACTCGAAGGTGAGTCGTTAAATATAAGGACGGACATGCTAATTTATGTTAGGGGTAAACTTTTAAAATTTTAAAGGGGGCAAATTATAAATTTTAGGGGACGAAAATAAGTTATTAATAAAAAATTTTAAAAGATTAAAATATATGATAATTTAAAATTTTAGGGGATAACTATTTTCGGCCGGTTTCATTCTTCCCTGGTTAGATACGATTATATCCCCGAACTAGTGTTAGGCAGCAAAAGCCAACCAATTTGAGTATCATTGTGTTGCCTAGGACCAAATCGTATAATTGAGAAGGGGCTAAGAACATGGCAGTTAAACAAATGATTAGGCCAACATGAAGCAGGTGGGGATGCAATAATATATATATAGAGGGGTTAACATCCGTTTATACAATATAAAATTCTTTTAGTTTTATATTTTTTTAGTATCGTTGAATTGAGAAAATGAAAGGTTAGGATAAACTCTTTATATATATATATATATATTTAAAAATGTAAAAAGTAATATTCATTTTATTATTCAGTATTACACTAATAAAATTATATTCAACTGACGATGGTGGAAGTGTTATAGAATAATACCAAAACATCTTTTTAGCTTACCTTGGGCAGCATCTTTGTGAACCAAGAATCATCTTTGCCAATATCAGTGTTAGACCTAAACATAGGATCCACATTAAGTGTATAGTAACTTTTACCTAAAAAAAAGTGTGCTGTTAGTGCAAGAACTAGAACTTTGAATGGTCTAAAGTAAGGGTGTGCAGAAAAATTCGATCCAATTGATACGATCCATTGATTAGTTGATTTCCTCCGAAAATTTGAATATATGATCTATTTTTTATTATTAAATAATTCAGATCTAATATCCAAGAAAAAAAGAAAATAATCGTATTGGATACAAATTGGCTAAATTCTATTTTCTTATTATCCGAAAATCCAAAAAACAAATTGGGTCTTTAGAGTTTAAGTAGCCTTTAGCCTAATAAGTGACTAACTCACTAACCTACTGAGGCTCTAGCCCAATAAAAACTAATATAAATATATATATATATATATTATGTTGCATAAAGTCACAAAATATAAAACATAAATCTAGTTTGTGTAGTGAATATGAATATTCGATCTAAAATTAAATTTAAATCAGACATAAATCACAATTTTAATAATTTGAATTTTTAAATATTTAAAATTTTGAATCGAATAATATCTTATGTAATATAGTGTATACCCGTACTCAAAAGGCCAAATCCAACCGTTGTATAACGTTATCTATTTATTCATCTTAAATATAATTAAATAATAAAAAGTAAATCTGAAGCACGTTAAAAAATAAGGAAACTAAGTAGGTGCTGCTTTTTTTCTCTAGTTTTAAGGTTTAGTATTGATTAATTTGAATTAATCCGGGTCGCACACCTTATTTTGGTGGGTGAGTCTCCTAGTTAAGATTTTCTGCATAGATAAGGACTCGAATCTGAAATCTTATTTAAGTGATATCAAACTGCTTACCACTTAAACTAACCTGTTGATAAACTATTTACCACTTGAACTAACCTGTTAATAAACAAATACTACTCATTATATTAATAGGTGGAGGCTAAAGCCATCTCCAGTCCTCATCTCATCCCTACTCTATAGCATCTTTATCTCTACTCTAAAGTTGAAACAGTAATTCATCTCCAGCACTATCTTTAGATTACCGTCAACTTTACTTTATTCACAATATTTAACTATTATAATATTAATTTTACAAATATAAAATAAAACATATACATTTCTAATAAATATCAAGATAAAAAACATAAATAAAGCATTCAACGCATGTAACAATTAGTATGTTTATTTATCTAATTTCAATGTATTTTTATCTATCTTACAAATTAATCTACTTGAATTTAAAAAAATCAGAAAAATATAAAAAAAAATTACAAAAATTACAAAAAAAAAATTAGTATGTTTATTTATCTAATTTCAATGTATTTTTATCTATATTGTAGTTTAATCTATTTGAATTAAAAAAATAAAATTATAGTGCATGCTACAGTGGCGCGCCTGATGTAGCGCGACCTGTAGCGATTTTCTAAAGTGGAGATGTTTTTGGCGATAGGTTGGAGACTGTTTTTTCTCTAGAGTTGAGATATTCTCCAATTGTAACCCAACATTGGAGATGCCCTAAGCTTAATCCATGAGTTTAATAGGTCAAACCATTATTTTATGATTATAATAATACAAATAACAACACGATAATTGAACATTGAGATTAGAGAAATGAAAGTACCCCCACCGCCTTGTGTTTCAACTATCAAGATTCAAGATTCTCTCTCAAATATCATCTGCCCCTCAACCCAATCACATAAATAATATATTCTGACAAAGAACACATAAATATATCAAAAGTTTACCACAAGTATAGATGATTTTAGATAAATCAGACAAGACTAATAAAAATAAACAAAGTAAAAGTTTAGGCTGAAAGAAAATTAAATCAAAATATTTTTTTAATAGTCTAGGCGAACTACAATACAAGATAGTATCTATTTTTAAATTTTTTAGCCACAATGTACATACTCTGTAAACTCAACTGCTCGAACCTAAGACTTCAAGGGAGAACAACACTCCCTTTAACCACTAAGGTCACATATGTTCAAATCAAAATAAAATTAAGTAAAATATACAAATGGTCACTAATGTTTGAGTAAATTTTCGTTTTCCCCATTGAAGTTTTAAAATTAACAACTTAGTCAATAACGTTATCAATTTGTAACAAAATGATCACTCTATCATCATTCCCTTTAAATTAATGATGTGACAACATGAACAAAGAAGTTAATATATAGTTTTACCCTAAACTACTATTAAAACATCAATCAGGTCCTTAAACAATGTTTTATATTTAATTTACCCAAAAATTGTTGCATAAGCCAATCATCGGTTAGCCATTGTTGTAATTTGTCCAGTGACTGATTTGTACTATTGCATGTAGATTGTGTCGCTACTAGCAGGGAGAAAGGAAGTGAAAATATTATGAGAACTTCCATTTCTTTTCACTGTAAGCGTCGAGCTCTTATGTAATTTTGGGTGTTTCCATCCTGAAGCAGAGGTAGAAGAAGAAGAGGGAATAGTGAAGAAATATATGAAAATATCGTCTTTTATCTTTGTGATATCTACTTTAAATCAAGGCATGGTGCACTCTCCCCTAAATAAAATTTTGTCATTGAAATTTACCTGGGTAGCAGAGGTGAGGATACTAAAGCTTCACGTCCTTCTCTGTTTTCCACATTGCTTTTTCAAAGCCATAGTTCCCCCATAGCACTTTCACCAAATGAATCTTCTTGTTCCTTAACTCTTTCACTTTGCTCGCCACGATTCTGAATGGTTCCTCTGAATAGGTTATATCTGAACTGACCTCAATTTTTTCTAAAGGTATGGCGTGCGAAGGATTAGAGCGGTATCTTCTGAGCATAGATACATTAAACACATTGTTAATGCTCTCCAACTCTGGTGGTAAAGCTAGTCTATAAGCCAATGGTCCAATTATCTCAATCAACTCGTAAGGTCCTATGAAATGAGGAGTCAACTTGCCCTTGCACCCTAAGAGAAACATCTTCTTCCAAGAGGAAACCTTGATGAATACCTTGTCCCCAACTATGAACTTGATGTCCTTATGCTTTAAATCTGCGTAAGACCTCTGTCTGTCTGATGTTTCCTTGAGTGGATTCTGAATCAATCAAACCTTCTCCTCTGTCTTTCTGATTATGTCTGAGCCTACAATCTTACCCTCACTGAGCTGAATCCAACAAAGTGGAGTCCTACAGTTATGCCCATATAGGGCCTTACACGAAGCCATCTGAATGCTTAACTGAAAACTGTTATTGTAGGCAAACTCCACTAATGGAAATTCGTTCATCCCAACTACCCTCTAAATCGATGATAGTACACCTGAGCATGTCCTCGAGAATCTGTATAACTTGTTCTGACTGGCCATTTTTCTGAGGATGAAAAGATGTGTTGAAGTGTAGCCGAGTGCCTAGGGAATCATGCAGAGCTTTCCAAAAGTCAAAAGTGAAACGAGGATCCTCGTCTAAAATAATAGAAGTTGGTACACCGTGCAACCTCACTATCTCACGGATATACAACTGAGCTAACCTCTCTAAGGTACAGTCCATCCTAACTGGAAGGAAGTGAGTTGATTTGGTTAAGCGGTCTACTATGACCCAAATTACGATATGTCTCTGTCTAGCCATTGGTAACCCAATCACAAAGTCCATGGTCACCCTGTCCCATTTCTATTGAGGAATATGAATAGGTTGAAGTAAATCTGAGGGAACCTAGTGTTCTGCCTTAACATGTTGACACACTTGACATCTCGCTACGAAGACACTTCTCTTTTCATGCCCGACTAATAGAATAATATATGAAGCTCCTGGTACATCTTGTTACTGCCTGAGTAAACAAAAAGTGGATTGCAGTGTGCTTCATGGAGAATCTTACTGTGTAACTGAGCATATGAGGGTACGTACAACCGATCCTTGAAGTATATCACATCTCCATCTAGAAGCTCAAAACTTGAGTCCTCGCCATGGTGAACCTGGTCGATTTGACTTCTCAATCAGTCATTTAAACTCTGTAGCCTCTTGACTTCACCTACTAACTCTGGCTTGACTCATAACTCGGCTAGCAAGCTATCATCACTGATAAACTCAAACGTGCTAGGAGAGATCGCAACTCGGTAATTGACTTCGTACTTAAGGCGTATGATTCCACATTTTTCTTTCCTGGATGATAATCTCTGATGCAGTCATAGTCCTTAAACAACTCAAGTCATCTACGTTGTCTGAGGTTCAACTCTTTCTGAGTGAGAAGATACTTGAGGCTCTTACGATTGGTGAAGATATGGCATTTTCACCAAAAATATAGTGACGTCAAATCTTTAGGATGAACACCACTGCTTCTAGCTTAAGGTCATGGGTAGGGTAATTTCGCTCGTAACACATGCTTAATCTTACGGGACGCATAAACTACAAATTTACCTTTTTACATCAAGATACATCCAAGTCCATTCAAAGAAGCATCGCTGAAAATTGTGAAGTCCTTACTCGACTCTGGTTGGGTCAGCACTAGAGTTAATGGGGCTGTTATCATCGAGAAACTCTGAATAAACTGACAATAATACCCATCTAAACTGAGAAAATTGCGCACTTCAGAAACATTCTTAGGGGATTCACATTCAACTATAGCCCAAAATTTCTAAGGTTCGACTCTGATGCCGTCATCTGAAATGGCATACCCCAAGAATACTATCTCTGATAGCTAAAATTCGCACTTCCAAAACTTGGCATACAATTTTATGTCTCTGAGGATTTGAAGTACGATACAGAGATGCTAGTCATGCTCGTCCTTTGATCGTGAGTACACCAAGATGTCGTCTATAATGACCATAAAATATTGGTCCAAGAATGGGTGAAAGACATTATTCATTAAGTCTATGAATGTCGTTGGGGTGTTGGAGAGTCCAAACGACATTACTAAGAACTCATAATGATTGTACCTCATTCTAAAAGTCATATTCGCCACATCCTCGTCCTTGGATTTCAACTGATAATAGCCTAATCACAAATCAATCTTTGAGAAGACACATGCCCCTCTGAGTTGGTTGAAGAAGTCGTCTATCTTGGAGAGTGGGTAATAAGTCTTGATGGTCAACTTATTTAACTGTCTGTAGTTGATACACAACCTCATCGAACCATCTTTCTTATTAACAAATAAGACTGGTACTCCCCTAGGATAGATGCTCAGTCGGATGAAACCCTTTTATAGTAACTCCCGAATCTGAGTTGTTAACTCCTTTAGTTCAGTCGGTGTCGTGCAATAGAAAACAATGGAGACCGGGGCTGAACTTGGAATTACTTCAATGTTGAACTCTAATTCATGCTATGGTGGAAAACCCGACAACTCTTATGGGAACACATTGGGGAAATCTCACACTACTCAGATATCCTCGAGTGTGGGTACTGAGATTCGGGTGTCGACTACGTGAGCCATGAATTCCTCACACCTACTGTCAATTATCCTTTGGGCTTACATAGTTGATACAATCCTCGTCTGACAGGATCTCTCACTGGTTATCACCAACTTGGTTCCATCGATAGCTCTAAGCTTAAGCCTCTTGGCTTTGTACCTCAAACTGACATTGTGCTCAGTTAACAAATCCACCCATAAGCTTAAGTTAAACTCTCTAAAGGGTAACTTCAGCAAGTCCTCTAGAAAGGTATAATCGTGAATCCTCATTGGGTATTGTCTAAAATTTTTTTCCACCAGGATATCTAAACCTAGTGGACAAGAGACTCAAACATCTATCTCTAGTTCTCTACCGAGATTTATATTTCTTGAACTAAATAAGAGCAGATGTAAGAATGGGTGGAACTGGGGTCTATTAATGCTGTAACTGGTAAAGAAAAGACCATAAAGGTACCTGATATAACATATATAGCATCACAATCCTCCTTGGCTTGCACTGCATACTATCAGGAGGCACTCTCGGCTGTAGTCTTTGATATAGCCGTCCCATAACTCTGCTGCCAAAACGCAATGCCACCTCTTCTAGTCGGCCATCGGCCTCTCTACACTGATGGTGTCGATCATTAAGTTACCACTGATGTTGCACCCTAAGCTCCAGGGTAGTCTATGGCGTAATGGCCTATGGAGTCGCAACTATAACAACCTCCATACCCTAGCTGGCATGTCCATGGGTGACTTTTTTCGCACCTAAAACATAGGGTAAAGGTAAACCCTCCAATTGACTCACTAGAAACACCCCCAAAAGCTAAGTTCAATGGCCTCCTCATCGAATCGAACTTGTCTCCATGACTCAAACTCTGCCCAGTCTTTTGGGATTGTATTGTCAGTGGTCTCAATGAACCCTGACTATCTATGGCCCTCTTGGTCGGGATCTGTAATGGCCTCGTTGAATCAGTGGCTCTCCTAAACTATTAGGTAGCCTCATTGGATTTCCTAGCACAATCATGCCCAAGATCCATAGCACAATACCTCTTGTGAATTATGATTGATACAATACAACCTACATTGTTTACTCGAAATAAAAGGTTGAGGGAAATACCAAGTCATATAATGAACCGAGGGGTGAAATGAGTGTACGCAAACATGCTCCATGATTTGCGTGTTTGAATATATATATAGATGAGTTTATGTATGGTCAACGAATTGGGGTGTTGTTTTTTATTTTGAACGCAGGGAGACTAAAGCTTAACGCAAATGTTGGGTATTTGGATATTTACAAAGTAAAGTTTAGTTTTGACAATAAATTATTTAAAATATTAATAATTTTAGGCTTCGTATATTTTTTTTTGCCCTTCAGTTGCAAGGCTTCGCCTTGACTAATCTGGACCGACCTGGGACTCACACCTGGCTTTGATGGGTTAGACTCCCAGCGAAGATTTTCTGCATACACAAGGACTCGTACTTGAGACCTTGGTTAAACGATTTTAAACTGCTTACCACTTGAACCAACCCCCGTTGGTTAGGCTTCATACACTTTTAGGTGTCTAAACTATACCTCAAATTAACTTTTGGTGCCTAAAGAATTTTTTATTAAAAATATGTGCCTAACGTTTTCTTCATTACACTTTTAGGTGTCTACCGTTATAATTTTTTAATTTTTTAAGGCTTAGTACACTTTTAGTGTCTAAACTATACCTCAAATTGACTTTTGGTGCTTAAAGAATGTTTCGCAAAATAGGTGCCTAACGTTTTTAACGTTACATTTTTAGGTGCATGGACCGTAACAACCGTTAAATTTTGCCGTTATTAGACACATGTCATGCATATAAAATTTTTAAAAAATTAAAATATATATTTAATATTATACTTTAACAAAACTCCCAAAATTCCACCATTGATTGGCCATTGTCAGTCCGAGGTAGTCACCGTTGACACCATCAAAATCGTCTCATCACCGCACTCAAAACCCAACCCCCACCGTAAAATGGTGCCGATCGTCATGAAAAACATCACGAAGGGTCGTTAATTTTTTAAGTTTTCCTTCGTTGTTTTTGAATGATTGTACAGTTGGTCATACGTTACATGACCGCCACCATTGAGTTATTTGTCCTGCTTCAGATAAAACCCAGGCGGTGATAACACTTAATCATCATCATCGGAGATAAGGGATGGGAGGGAGAGGGATGAAGTGTAAAATAAAAAAATCCAAAAATATAATAGTAGACACTTAAAATTATAACAAAGAAAACTTTAGATACCTATTTTTAACGAAAAATTCTTTAAGCACTAAAACTTAATGTGAGGTATAGTTTAGGCACCTAAAAGTGTATATTTTTTAAATAATTATTTTTGAAATTTTATACAACACGTGTCAGATAACGACCAAATTTAACGATCGTTATGGTCCAGACACCTAAAAGTATAAAGTTGGAAACGTTAGACACCTATTTTTAACAAAAACTTCTTTAGGCACCAAAAGTCAATTTGATGTATTTCAGGCACCTAAAAGTATATTAAGCCATAATTTTATTAATTAACTAAATAATTTTTATTTGGGTGAATATATTAGATAAATATTAAATAAATGTAAAATATGTTTTAAAATATTATTTGATATACTAATTAATATTATTATAAAGTTATTACATTTGAAACCCTAGTTTTCTCTTTTTCTTGTTATCTTTTTGTCTCTTTTCTTCTTTGTCTCTTTAACTGACAATGACATCAGTCTTTAATGTAACACCCTCAAACCGGTACGAATTCCCCGATCTGATTCGAGGTGTCACATTAGGGTCATCGGAGCAACCCACCGTAAAAATTTAGGAAAAGTTAAAACTTTGTCAAATAATTTAAACCGTTAAATAATTTATAAATAAATTATACAAGTTC